CTCAGCGGGCAATCAAACACCGGTCACCCGCGTGAAGGGTGGAATACTTACAACTATACTACCGAACACTAGAGGTTTAGGTCAGATATCGCAGCCTAGCTGTAAACTACAACACAACGTGCCAACGGCCCTCTCGAGGGCGAACGAAAATTACCCTGACATGACCATTGAGCATCACGTCGCCGCTATCGCAGGCTAGCTGTAAACCCCAAAATCGAAAAAAAAGGCGTAGAAATCGTAGCGATTAACCAAAACACAATGTGCCAGCCGCCCAGTTAAAGGTAAAGCATTTTTTAATCTGCTAGCGGGGAATCGAATGCGGGTCACCCATATGATAGGCAGACTAGTTATAACTACGCTGATGGTGGAAATGAAATTATATGCTAATGCAAAGCTCAGTAGGAGCTCAGCAGTCACAGGTGGCAAATCAACTAAAAATAAATCCGGGCCGGCAATGAAATAACAAATGAAATGAACGTTGCTGGAGCTACGTCGTTTGTACTTTGTGCAACACTCATATATGCAAACACGCGCGGAGTCTAAGGCAACGTTGTGTGAAAATTTGAAAGCGGTCGGTAAAGAAAAATCGGAGATGGATCATGAGGAAAAGGGATCTATTGGCAGCCCTGCTCAGCAATCAAAGGTGGCCAATCAACTAAAAACAAATCCGGGTGGGCAACGAAACAAATAATGATTTAATCGTTTGTGGAGCTACGTCGTTCGTGTGTTAAAAACAATCGGTTCAGTAGTTTTTCAGTCTGTAGGTAACGACCACAGAAAATTAAATTTTTTTAAAATACAGATTTAGGTAATTGCCCTGACTGCAATCAGCGGGCTATTCTTTTATTCCAAAAAAACACGTTATATTTTCTTAATTCTCTTCTTTCTTTCTTTCTTTCTTTCTTTCTTTCTTTCTTTCTTTCTTTCTTTCTTTCTTTCTTTCTTTCTTTCTTTCTTTCTTTCTTTCTTTCTTTCTTTCTTTCTTTCTTTCTTTCTTTCTTTCTTTCTTTCTTTCTTTCTTTCTTTCTTTCTTTCTTTCTTTTCTTTCTTCTTCTTTCTTTCTTCTTTCTTTCTTTCTTTCTTTCTTTCTTCTTTCTTCTTCTTCTTCTTCTTCTTCTTCTTCTTCTTCTTCTTCTTCTTCTTCTTCTTCTTCTTCTTCTTCTTCTTCTTCTTCTTCTTCTTCTTCTTCTTCTTCTTCTTCTTCTTCTTCTTCTTCTTCTTCTTCTTCTTCTTCTTCTTCTTCTTCTTCTTCTTCTTCTTCTTCTTCTTCTTCTTCTTCTTCTTCTTCTTCTTCTTCTTCTTCTTCTTCTTCTTCTCCTCTTTATCCTCCTCCTCTTCCTTTTCTTCTTATTTTTCTTTTTCGTATTCGTCTTCTTCCTCTTATTCTTCTCCCGCTTCTCCTTCTTCTTCTGCTCCTCCTTCTCCTAATCCTTATATATATATATATATATATACACACACACACATACCCACACAGAAGAAAAACGCAAAACACACACATATATATATATATATATATATATATATATATATGTGTGTGTGTGTGTGTGTGTGTGTATGTGTTGGTGTATGTAGTCGAAAGTAGGGTTAAGAGATGTTTAATGTATATAGTTAGAATGTAATCACTATCTCTATGGTGCGTAATGTGTATAATTATAATGTAAACGTTACCGCTATAATGTGTAATGTATTTAGGTAAAATGTAACCACTCTCGCTATAATGTGTAATGTACATATTTAGAATGTAATCACTACCGCTATGATATGTAATGTATATAGTAAGAATGTAACCACTACAGCAATAATGTGTAAAGTATATAGTTAAAATGTAACCACTACCGCTATGGTACAATGTATATAGTTAGCATGTAACCATTACTCCTGTGATGTGTAATGTATATAGTTAGCATGTAACCATTGCCGTTGTGATGTGTAATGTATATAGTTAGAATGTAACCATTACCGCTGTCATGTGTAATGTATATAGTTAGTATGTAATCGTTACCGGTGTGATGTATGTTTATAGTTAGTATGTAACTATTACAGATATGATGTTAAATGTATGTATTTAGAATGTAACCATTACCGATATGATGTTTAATCTATATATAGTTAGAATGTAACAATTACCGCTATGATGTGTAATGTATAGAGTTAGGATATAACTATTACCGATATGATGTTTAAAGTATGTAACAAGAAAGTAACCATTACCAATATGATGTGCAATGTACATAGTTAGAATGTCACAATTACTGATATGATGTGTAATGTATTTGGTTAGAATGTAATCACTACCGCTATGATTGTGTTTTCCGTGTCAACTGTGTTTACCCAGAAACACTTGTTGCCTACTCGGCTTCCAGCACCATTGAGAATGTCACGTTGTCAACAATCGCGGGTCCTGGAACTACACGCGTAGATCTCATGATGAGCGTGGAAAGTGTGACAGGAACCAAATTGCAAGTCTGGATGTCTGTACAGGTAGTTTTTACTTTTTTTTTTTACCCGTCCATGATGTATCAATGGCACTAGACCAACTCTAATCATAATCAAACTAAGCTTCGCCATCTGCTACATCTCTCATCAAACTGTCCTCATAAATTTTTCTGCTTAAAAAAATGTATATACTTTTTCAACCCCCCCCCCCTACCCCCGCCTTCACCCCACCCCCTTCCCAATGGATTTGTTTGCACTCATATTCCAGTAAAAAAGATTCTACAGGAAGGAGTCAAAAATTACCTACACTTTTCATTATACATAATTACATGACGCTAGGGCTTTACTGTGCACATCATTTTTGTAGGTAATCCGCCTCCTTTTCAATGCATTTTGCCCAAAGGCCAACACGCTTAGTATTCCTAAAAAATAAAAGGTTCTCGACTGGTCCTGAAGCCTCTTCTGCACTGCAATTCTCTCGTCTAGGTCTGGGGCAAACAGGTGACCTCGAAAAGTTTTTGAGCGGCCCATCAAGTGAAAGTCATAAGAAGTCAAAACTAGGTTGTATTGTTGGTGTTCCAGTAACTCAGATTTAATTCTGCTGATGGTTTCAAGAGTGTGACGTGCAGTGTGTGGCCATGCATTGTCAGGCAATAACTAAACTTTCTTCGACAATAGACTTCGGCGTTTGTTGCGACTTCAGCTATGAATTCAGCTTCTTTTCTCGATCCACAAAAATAGTTTTACGGGATAGTGCACATCCCCCGTATTGCAAATGATAGTCTATCATGAACTGCTGAACCTTCGACACCCTCCGACAAGAGAAATCGTTTCAGCGTACGTTGCACCTCTTTGGTGCAAACTTCTAATGGAGCGGCCATGATCTATCTATCTGCAACAGAAGGAAGACAAATGGCGGAAGAAGGATCAAACTGGCATGACATAACCACAGTAATATAAATCTCAAATAAGCGGGGACAGAAGTCAGCGTGGACAATTTAAGAATAATTTTGTCAAGAGTGTAGATAATTTGTGACTTCCCATCGTGCGCTTTTTTCCCCTCCCAAAATGTGTCCTTTTCAGCGGCAGAATCTTCTCCCAACCTCGCCTCTCCAGAAACTTGATTTTCTACAAACTAAGCTTTTGTTACTTTCATACTTAAATTCATTCATTTTTGTGGAGACCCAATAAATATGCGTAGTTTTTTTTTTTATTACCTTAAACAATGGATTACCAGAGGGTAGAGTTGGCCATCCATGCGCCCCTCAAGCAGAAGCGTATATTTTTTAAAACTAGTTTTCTATGAGGCCGTGAAAGGCACTTCGTGTAATTTACACCTGTAAAGAGGCGGAACTGTAATACGGTGATCCGATTGTAGTGAGGTGCAAACCTTTCCAAAAGACTACCGATGTGTCATGAGTGGAAATAAAAAAACGTGAGGACACACTGAAAGCGGTGCTTTCCAGTCATGCTGAGACAAACGAGCCAGTGATGACGAACATCTGTTTGAAAAAGGTGTTAAACAAGAATAGTCTGTAGAAATCAGTTGCGGGGCAAAGAAAAAATCTATATCATTCAGCTAACGAGTCAAGATGGGCATATGACACTGCTGCTGAATCACAGGACGGAGCACATATGGGTCGGATATATTAGAATGTCGATACGGGCAGCAAGTAACAAGAGAAAACAGATTAAATGTAAAGGACCTTAAAGTATCCTTTTCTACTCCTTTAGACTCATTATCCGTTCTACTTCTAACTCAAGCCTGAGTCTAGAGAGTCTTAGTGCAGTGCACGAACTCCGTAGCACCGGCGATGATGCTGGAATACTTTTTCTAGATTTGTTTTAACTTTAAATGTGTTTCCTTGCAGTGCAGTTATATTGCTCTGTTCAATTTCCACCTGCCAAGGGATTTTTTTATGTGCTCAACGATACACACGGGCGTCTGATCTTACTATCCAGAGACCATGGGAAATTACTTCAAGTCGATGTGAAAAAACCCTAGCCTTCACCGAGGTCAGAACCTGGGACCTCTAGCACAGGAGGCGAACGTCATGCCCCGAGACCACTCAGCTTCCCTCAAGATATGCCCTCAAGGGGCACAATAGGATAAGGATGTTGAAGATAGCGCGGCGCAGCAGAAGCAGGAGCCGCGGTGTTACAGTGGCTACATTTTTACCTGTGTGTCTCGAAATCTAGAACATGTCTTGGGAAGTATAGAATCTTGTCAACACACGCACACACACACGCGCACACACACGCACAAACGGACACACGCACACACGCACACACACGCGCACACACACGCACACACACGCACACACACACACACGCACACACACACACACACGCGCGCACACACACACGCACACATACACACGCACACACACACGCACACACACACGCACACACACGCACACATACACACGCACACACACACACGCACGCACACACGCACACACACGACACACACGCACACACACGCACACACACACTCACACACACACCAAAAGAGAATAATTGTGATATGTAATTCGCATATGTTTCTTTGTATATTAAAGCTAACAACCCTGGATCAAGCTGACACACTGAGAAGAACTGCTGGACACATACAGACTGGTTCGGGCGGACAAGGTTGGAAACAAATATATACAATATTTTGTTTTGTCTGTGTGTGTGTGTGGTCAGTAATGATATAACTGTATTTTGTTAATCTCATGGTGATAATTTCTCACCCTAATTTTATCGTTGTCTCTGCCCGTCTCTCTAGCGTAGTTGGCTAAACCGGCTTGTGGTCCGGGTTCACTCCCGGGGGGGGGGGGGGGGTGGGGGGGGGGGGGGGGGGGGGGGGGGGGGGGGGGGGGGGGGGGGGGGGGGGGGGGGGGGGGGGGGGGGGGGGGGGGGGGGGGGGGGGGGGGGGGGGGGGGGGGGTTGGCAGAAAAGCCCACATTTCTCCCAGATTTACGGTATTTAAAATGGAATCAAGGCCGAAAGGTTGCGATATCCATAATACCGAGCCTAAGGGTTAACAACTCATGGCTTCTGGATACTAAAACAAACAAACATATCGTTGTCTCTCCTTTGCTCTTTAGTTTTTCCAGATATCATTATTATAACAGTGCAGTGTCTTGTTGAACTTCTTTCAGCAACTGTCATTTTATTCCCAACTTTTTTTGAAACTCTGTGTGTGATAGCTTTTGTTTCCGCGCAGTGCTACCTACTGTTTTTTATATTAACATCTGCAAAAACAGTACTTGTTTATAATTTCTTGTTTATTGTCAATGTTTCTGCATCATACAGCAGGATTCAGCTTACAAAACATTTGACGATTCTTAATGTCAATGTTTCTGCATCGGACAGCAAGGATCTGCATGCACAACGCTTGACGATTCTCATTGTCAATACTTTTTAACCACTCCTATTCTCTCGTTAAATACTATTTCACTTTTGCTATCAAATGTTATTGCATTTCCAAGATAGGAGGAACGTGTAGATATTTCTAATTTTTTCCTGTTTACTCTAATGTTTTTTGCTAGAGGTTACCTTCCACTCTGCATTTTGCCTATGTACTTGCTCCCCGAGGTTTTGTAGCCGCTGCGCAGTTTATGCAGTTCAGGCATCCCTGCACAATGTGATTAAAACAATCATACGAGTCTGATCTTCTGCTCTGACACAAGGACGCCTCAATAGGCCGACACACAAATTGAATTGCGTCTTCTGCTTACATCATCCCATAAATTCGTCCTGCTAGTCTGTGACTTGTACCTGTATCCAAAGCTTCGTCAAGATTGAAAGTAAAAAGTAAAGGTGCTTTTCCACACCTTTGTGCGTATTGGGAATATATGGCTAGACATTTATTTGCATAGACCGATGGGCACTTGGTGGGGGATGTTGTTAGTTCATTGTTAATTGTTTAATAAAACAGACAAATGTAAAATACTCGTCTTCTATACGTTCATATTCACCTATTCAGCTGACGCCAGGTTTGTGAAGAACGTGGCCACAGTGATCAGCGTCGAGTCTACAGCTACTTTTGAGGATAAAGTCACGGTAAGTTCACGCGAATTGAATAATGTTCAGTGTTGAATTAGGAATCAACCTCACATAACTAGGGAGATTACATCATCGCTCCATCCACATCTTCAGCAGTAAGCGCAGAGTTCAAATTCCGATGGTACTAGTAAGGGTCTGATTGCATTCGTCTCTCCTTTTCCCTGAGTGTTAATCGTCTGCCAAATCCCACTTGTCACCCCTCGACGATCAATCAGCGCTTCCGCACTGTTCACTGGCCCCAAAAGGACCTTACAACATCTTGCTTATAATGCATTAATTCACTAAGTTGTTTATAACCAGCTAGTTTATCTGCCTGTTCGTTTCCCTAATACACCGGAATACCCTAGAGAAAATATCCAAACGACACTAACTACAAGGGATCTGTAAAGCCATGCTTACCACTCTTTACAGAGCATATCGCTCTCACCTTTCTCAACATGCACCGTGAGTCAGTTACAGTTATGACAGGTGTATACATTTATTTTCAGGCCAGCAGAAATTATCATGACTGCCTCCGTTCTCCAACTGTTTGGTGTGGTGTCATTTGCCAAAATTTAGGAATGTTATTATTAATAAACTATTCGAGAATGGCTGACGTAGTGCAAACAAAGATCCGTAGATCGCAGGTTGGGTCCCGAGAGAGCCAGATGTTTTTTGTAGAAATAATATTAGTTTCCTGATTCACCCACCCTCAAAAGGGTAACAGGTAAGGGCATGGGGGGGGGGGGGAAGGGGGGTAAATCGAATGGCTTAATGTTGACCACATCACCCACCGAGTGTCTACTGATCAATAAAAATAAACTCCACAAGGGAGCATGTGCAGCAGGAGTCTACCAGTCATCAGTAGAAGTGATCTCTCGTCCACAATTGTTTCGGCCCACGAGCTGCTAAAGAATTTCAGAGGGCGGGCCCACCTGAGTTCATGAAGCTCAGGTTTGATTTGATCCTGCTGCACGTATTACCGGAGGATCTCGGACAGGGACAAGACGAAAATGGTGACTATGCAAAGGTACTCTGAGATTCGAAGTTTTTTTATCGCCGCGGTAGCATTTTAGAGCAGTCTGCATACCTTGACGACCATGGCAAGCTTACGGTTGGTTTATAGGAAACATGTTAGACTTTGTTGGCAATTGGCAGAGGACACCGGCAGACAATTCGGACACGATAGACTTTTGGGGATAAGACTTCTTTTTGACCAGATACCCGGACCAGCCTACCGAGGCCCATCCCCCACGACGTTCAGTTGTGTTCACTGCAGACTGAGGCTCTCTCTGCAGCCACGCCCAGTTGTTTTAGTGATCGTTTCGCGCGCAAGCCCAACTGCTTAATCCCATTGTACATCGAAGTGGAGATGAGACCTCGTGCGCCTACATCGAGGGCGAAGATTCTTACTGTGTACGCATCGTCTATCCTCAGATCAGCCGCGAGGTCACAGCATTTATTGAGCTTATACATATTAATCTCGTCCCTTTGCGACTCATAAGACACCGTCAGTTCAATCAGGATGAGATGTCGTTTGTCCGTAGAGTGTAGGACCAAGTCAGTTCGCCGGCTGGTCTTCCGGATTAACTGTATGTACTTTCTGTGACCAGGCAAGTCAGCCGCCAGTAGCCAGCAATACAATAAAGGCCTAGCCCTTTTTGTCTAAAGGTGTGGAGAAAAGTCCTTTTATTGTTTTCCATTCATACACATACTGTATCAACATACTGGATCTTAATGGGCCTATTTATTTCTTTAGGTTTCATCCCTTTGTTAGTTCAACAAATTTATAAAAAAATCAACAGTTGGTAACTGAACGAAGTTGCTCATCTTATGTGAATGTCACAAATGGATGGATATCTTTAAATTGCAACTATAGAGTCAATAACAACTAGGTCTGTAGCGAATATTCGCTTTTTATTCGCTTCAGGGCCGAATAGTGGACCGAATGACTATTTGGTATTCGGCCGAATAGTTGCGGTCAGGCCTAATACTAATAGTGGTTACCTTACAATCATTTTTGCATACATTGCGATGGACTGAAATAATTCTCTCATTGACACAATAGTTTATGTTGCCTAGGTTTGTAGTAGCGGAAAAACTGCGACCCGGTTACGTGGTACAGCAACTAGCATAGTCTTGCCTGCTGACTCGACCGTGGCATTACAGCAGAGGTTCTCAAACTGGGTGCGTATGCCAGTGGTGCCGGGGCGAAAATCAAGAAAAGTCGGCTATAAATTGTAACATTATTAAAAAAGACATAAAGATACTTGAGATACTTTCCTCACCACTGTCGAAAAGAGCACAGGCGTCCTATGCAATATTTCTTTGCCATTTAAGGTAAGAAAAATTATTCTTGCTTGCTACTATTTTTCTCGATTTTTCCAGTTTTAACTTATGGTTGTAAGTCCTGGACAATCGGTAGGCAGGCCAAAACAATTTATTGCGGTATCAAAGATGTAGTTTTACAAAAAAATGCTTAAAATACATTAAACAAAAAAAAAACAAAAAAAAGCAACCAATAGGTTTTGAAAGAGGTGGGAGGCCGAAGACAAGTCATCATTTTTCGGCTATGTTATGAGAAGAGGGAAAATGGAACATGTGGTGACCACTAGAACGATATGTGGAAGGAGGGATAGAGGAAGACAACGAGAGAATATTCTTGACAGTTTTGTTGTATGGCATGAAGGTGTGTCAGCACACGAACTAATACATGCTGCAGCAAATCGCAGATTATGGCGAGGCATAATCGCCCACTTCAGTCGGCAAGGCACCTGATGATGACGATACACTATTCGTATTCGTATTCGGCCGAATAGTTGATCACACTATTTGTATTCGGCCGAAAAGTGAAAATCACTATTCGGTACAGCCCTAATAACAACAATACTGACAGTATGGCAAGTTATTGTAAACTCTATCACACTGTTGCTTTTTGATCTTTCGATGTCGGCTCTTCCTATCATTGCGAAGCAGAATTCGCCAAGCGTTGGATTGTTCACCCACTAATAGGGAACGTGAGCTGGGTTAGACCGTCGTGAGACAGGTTAGTTTTACCCTACTGATGACAGGTCGTTGCTCCGGTAATCCTGCTCAGTACGAGAGGAACCGCAGGTTCAGACATTTGGTTCACGTGCTTGGCTGATAAGCCAATGGTGCGACGCTACCATCTGAGGGATTATGGCAGAACGCCTCTAAGTCAGAATCCCGCCCGGATGTGCGACGATATTCTTAGCACCACTGCGTCGGAAGGCAACGATATGGTCGGGACCTGGGGCTTCGGTCCCAGCCCGGCCTGGTCGAGCCGCAGCAAGAGGTCACTGCCGTCCCGCTGATCAAAGCGGACGGGGGCCTATCCGATATTCACCCCATGCGGCGTGGAGGTGTGAAATCATTTGTAGACGACTTAGTTCTCGGTCGGGGTGTCGTAATCAGCTGAACAGCCACCTCACTGCGAACTGTTGAGATTCAGCCCTAGACCAGGAGATTTGTTCGCAGCTTAGACGGAAAAAAAAAGAGAAAAAAAAAAAGAAAAAAAAGTGACTCGCTTATTCAATGCCTCCTCGCAGATTAGTCAGTTTTCGGTGCAACCTGAAACCAGTATCATGCCTACTATATTAATTCCCAAAACATCTCCCTTTGACTGTTTTAGGCTGGATAGATCTTGGAGCTTCAGGCATATGATCGGTGGAGGTGCACACTAACGCACTGACTCTGTTGATTTTGACGCTCCAGAATAAACCGACTGCACGCGCGTACGTGCATGTACGTACATATGTGCGCGCGCGTGTGTGTGTTTGTGTGTGTGTTTGTGTGTGTGATTCAGGTTCAGTTACATTTATAAATAATATATCTTGCTTACACTGCAAATACATATTTACTTTCCAGACCCGAAGCGAGTTGCTAAGAAATGTTGAAAAATTGGATTCAAGATCGAAGAACAGCATCGAGCAAGTGTCCTCTGTTCTTGGTGCCACTGTCGAAAAGGCAAATGAGATTGAACCAAGCGGTCTGGTAATACAGATTTTTTTTACACAGACAGATATGTTTTGTGATGACTGTTTTTAATAAGTTTCCGTGTAGTTCCATACACCTCTTAGTGCAGCGTTGACTTACAAACATAACATGCATTAGACTAAATACTTCTCTAACCTCTTGAATAGACCTGATCCTAAACATCCCCCAGATATTCAAACAGCCTCTCATGGCCTTGACATTTTTTTTGTAAAACCACCAAGCAAACAAGAAATCTGTAAAGCTATTCACACTTTAAAGAACAAGAAAGCACTAGGCAAAAACTGTCGGCAGAACTTCTAAAAGTAGATCCCAACACAACTGCCAACCTTCTAGAACCATTGTTCTCAGATTGTCAAGAACCTATATGTCTAGGGTTCGAATCTATATGGCTGCGCTGCAGGCCAATGACAGATAAACACTGCTAACGGTTAAGCCAAGCCAAACACGGGTTAAACACACACACACTTTTTGTTTCTAAGGATACGAACGCATGGAGGTCTATGCATCACTAGGAGGAATTTTCACTATTATGAAACCAGGCCGCTTCTAACTTTAAAATAGCTCGACGCGCCTTTTCATGTCCATGAAATAGGCTGTGAGCTCCTACCACACTCCCGTACAGCGCTAACTCAACTCGCTGTCTCCCAATGCCAAACACGATATGACACACGCCAAGTGCGGGCTGGAGGTGCGTCAGCAAATGCTAACGCCACAAACAATGCATGGTCCTGTTTCCCATAACAAGGTATCACTGCTGAAAAAGTCTGTCTGCTATCCTGAATCTTATTGCTAAATGAGATTTAAATGAATCAATTACTACTTACACAGTAAAGTACTAAACACATTTAGTGAAACGCCGGACGGTACGAATCACAGCTAACATCTAAGACACCACAATCCTACCGGTCATTACAAATTGTCAGTGAACTAGTACAATCCACGCCATTCTCTAATTATTCAGTCCTTACAACTGAATCACGGTACATTTTGGAGGAGTCCCCCTCGAAATTAGGTAACTGGGAGCGTTTCCATGTTGCAATGTGTGACATATTAATATGCTTACAAATTCCTGTGTTCTCAACGTATTCGCATTACAAATCTACAAATGGATATTGTGAAGTGGATTTACAGCAATTTTAATTTTAATTTTAATTCACGAAAGACAGTCATGTTGTGATGTGTGTGTCAGTGTCACTGTTTCTAGTCAGTAGTTCAGATTTTTGGGAACTGGCTGTTTATTACTTTTCTACTTTAAACGAAGAAATCTTACTGTTAGGGATAATACAAACAGGTAATTTAGAAGCCATATCTGGAGAATATCGACAGTTGTCAGGTGCAAACTATTTTGTGTTTGAAGAAACTATTGCTTTCATATTGACTGTGCATAAATGGTGCAACCACGCTGGATAAATTGTGTCAAGATATTTCGGAGCTCTAGGTAAGTGGATGAAAATAATTTTTAATTTACTAACTAACCTCTCACAGCAAGTCACTCTTTGCCTCTTTACTAATTGTTGACTAACAGTATAATTATATGTTTTTACATACCAATCGGCACTTGGTAGGTAATGTGGTCAGCATTACGCCGACCGTCTTTACTTTCCCAGGTCAGCCCATCCTGGTACCCATTTGAGGCTTGGTCGACCTGCGACGTTATATATTGTAGAAGTCTACTAATAATAATAATAACCATCAATTATTTATATTTATGTTATGTATGATATGTGTATGTTTCATAGCAGTATTTTTATGCGCTAAATTTGATAAAGTACAAATGTCACCTCTCCCCACCCCCTCCCGCTCCTCCGATGCAACAATACCCTATCAGAATCAAAGAGTTAGCACTGATATTTCTTTTCTTTTGCTGGAACAACTTTTAGTTTTCATCTAAACGTTATTGATGTTTATGTTCATGTTGACTGTAGCAAAAGCATTTTTGTTTGTCTGTAAGAGCCTTTATTGTTATATTTATTCGGCACACTTATTTACCTTAAAAAGGACATATAGTTCTAAAAAATATGTCCAAAATAATGAAACTGTAGTTTAATTTGCGTTAACATCTCCTAGATAAAAACTGTGGACGCAGAGGGACTCAATTCTTGCACAAGAACGGGAATTCCCGTTCGAGCTGTACGGCCTTTTAAATCTGGAGCTGGCCGTGTACAATCTAATGGTCTGGTCGAAACAACGTCCACGTCACACAAGTCTTCTGCCAAGAGTCCCAATCTGTGCTGTTCACAGACGTTCTGTTGAACTCCCAGAGTGTATTGTTCAGTCAGCCCTACGTGAAGCCCGCTCATGACCCAGCAAACCCAACTCAGCAAACACAGCTCTCTCCGTGTATCGGCCCGTTTACACACGCCCTGAGTTTTGTTAAGGGTCACAATCTACAGCCTTGCTGCTTTATCATTATCGCATTGAACTGTCCCATAATTGGGACGATCCCTGACATCCACCCCTCCTCTGGACAAATATTTCCCGATGATAGACGTCTGTTTTATTTATCTACATCTGGAGTCAAATATCTCTATACGGGTATGGGATGTCCACATAATTGTGTCAACATTCAGTTCATTACATCTGATATGTTATATATCCTTCGTCCCTCACCTAAATCTTGTCAACAGTTAAGAAGATCTTAATGATGAATTTTTCCTCAATTCATATCTTCACTATCTAATAACGTAGATAAGATATGTTTCCTATCGAGAGTCAATTACCTGAGAACAATGTATCTCTACGTCTATATTGGGATATGTACACACACAAGGACAACACTAAACCATGAGGCTACCAATGGTATCAAGACATGTCACAAGTCCATCACTACTACCTGACACTTTCAAATCATAGAGGTAAAGGCTACTAATATAATATTGAGGGTGGACAAATAATCTACCCGGGACCCTCTGAACCCAACCCCACTCCCGTGCGAGTTGTACGCCATTGAAAACATACCAATTGTCGTCATATTTATAACCCTTTATCGTTCTAACTAAGTTATCCGGACTCCCCGACGTCCTGTGTCTAAATCACCTGCAATCACTGCCGCTGTCACATGTCATACCTCTTGACCAATAGTGCAGTATAAATAGAAACACATCTGAGGGATGTGAGACACATTTGTAGCTATCATGAACAATGCCACCTGTTACCTCAAACTCCCCTTAATGTACCAGGTTTCTGTACCCTTCATATACACAGTGACTCCTGATCTGGAAAAAAAAATCTCATATAAATACTCTTAAATTTAACATTTGATTTATGAGTTTTCTATAAAATATAAAGAAACAATAAAAAATAAAAAAAAATAAATCAAATTATATAACCAAATTATTTTAAAACAAAGTCTCCTAAAACAAAATACAAAATAACCTAAATAACAACCCCTCACCCCCCCCCCCCCACCCCCAAAAAAGAATTAAATTCCCATAATCTTTTACCAAGTCGTGTCCTATTGTCAACCCAATTTCGAATTTATATTTTCACAATTACCTAAGAATATATCTTGCATGTAACTAGTTGACCACTGCAGTGCTATCCACAGAAAGCCAACATGTGGTTGACCTCTCAACAAATAACATGTTACATTTAATCTCATTTAGGAAAAAGAAGTGTTGCCTGATGACTGGAGTGAAGGAACAAACGTCCAAATCCCAGCAAAAAAGAAGATTTAACAGACTGTAATAAATGGATGGGAATAACTCTACTCTCGGTAACAAGCACAATTTGTTTGTAAAATCATCATAATGCGGCTTGAAAAAGACGTAGATTAATGCCTACGAGTGGAACAAGCAGCATTCAGAAAGGGCAGAGGAACAGCGGAGCACGTCTTCACTATACGTAACATTTTAGAACAATGCAATGAATGGCAGAGAAGTATATATATTAATTATGTGGACTTTAAGAAAGCTTTTGACAGCGTCCATAGAGACATTCTGGAAAATATTATGACAATTTGGAATTGCAGAAAAGATAGTCAACATTATTGCTCTCTTCTATAATGACATTTCCTGCGGAAGTAAAAATTACAAATCTTTCCCAGTAAAGACAGGTGTAAGTGTAGGTGTAAGACAGCAATGCATTATGTCATCCCTCATCTTCATCCTTGTGATTGATTGAATACTAAAGAACACAGTAGACAAGAAATCAAGAGGCATACCATGGACTCCATTCAACATGCTTGCGGACCGTGATATTGCAGATGATATAGCACTTCGATCACATAAACAGGAACATATACAAGAGAAAAGTTACAGACTACACAGCGCAGCAGAAACGGTGGAATTGAAAATATATACAAGGAAAACTAAGATCATGACAAACAGTCCAAACCAACAACCAGTGACCATAAATAACCAAACACAGTAGTAACATTTCACAAATCTTGGCAGTGTGGTGTCCCTGCTAGGAGGAATAGAGGAAGACATGCAATCACGCCTGAACAAAGCTAGAGCTGCTTTTATAAGAATGACGCAAATTTGGAAATACAACAGTTACTGCAGAGGAACGAGGCTTCGACTCTACAAGAGCACCATTTTTCCAGTTCTTCTTTATGGAGCAACAAATAACCAAAAGGGATGCACCCAAGCTATCCACCTTCCACTAGACATTTCTTCGTAACATTAGCACAATTTTCTGGCCAGTAACAATCTCAAACACTAAAATACTTCAGGTCACAAACCAATAAACTATAGACAGTCTGGTCAGCAAGAAAAAACGGAGATGGCTTGGCCACGTTATGAGAATGAATCCTGATATACCTTCCAAAACAGCTTTCACTTGGATACCAGACTAAAAGAGAAAAAAGTGGCGCCGAAAAAACAACATGGAGACGAACGATGAAAATTAAACTGAGTGTACCATTAATTACATGAAAAACTCCTCTGAAGATTGCACAGGGCAGGCAGGAAAGCATGGGAAGTCCTATCTAAAGCGTCGTGTGCCATTAGGCATAATGAGAATTGATGATGATGAATGGGCTGTACAAGGGACATTCTTGCAGGGCATGTTCTGTAATCTGCACACACAGACCCCGAGGACACAATGGTGAACTCACTAGACGAAGTCTGTGCACATGCTCTTTGTGTTTGTTATGTCCTGTCCTGTAGCGTAGCATAATGGCCTTCCCTTGGCGGTCAAGTGTCGTAGTCACCTCTGGCCAGACTCTGTTCGCTTTGTTAGCAAGTTTATTTGTAGCTTCGTTTCCTGGTATACCGCAGTAGGAAGGCACCCACAGGAGTAAAGAACACCTTTTGCCAGCCACCTTGCTATGTTCAGATTTCAGGTGAGGGAGTTTACCACTCGTGAGGGCTTGAAGCATTGATAACGCATCTGTCATGATGACCACTCGGTTGCAGTCAGAACACTTCGGCAGCCTGCTCTAGTGCTACAATCTCTGCTGTTTAGTTAGAACTTAATTTATCAGTGGGCATATACTTTCTGTGGGGGTGGTTGTGTGGAATGTGTTGAAGACGCCGGTACCCCTATTTTTAACCAAACTAGTTTCTGATCCATGTGTGTAAGCATGTATCCACTACTGTTTGGTATAGTTTTCCTGGATTATGCTAAGAGCAGCTGTGTTTTATTTTTATTTTATTTTGGAAGGTCATTGGACCCATCCTTAACTGTGAATCTATTGACTAAAGTCAGTACCTGTATTGTGTCTCGGATTTGTCCCAAGGTACACATTATAGGGTATATTTCAGCAGTGATTTAGTGTTTCTTCTTTAGAACAATGTCTGCATTGTGGTTATTTTCTGCATATCCAGGATTGATGCAGTTTTCATGGATGCTGTGATGAGCCTAGGATTTGATTTTCCACTCTCTCTAATGATTGCAAATGGAAATTAGCAGCTGATGATTGGGTTGTTCCACTAAACCCAAAATGAGGTCTTTTCGCTCCATTTTAAACCTTTTGTCATTAGGTTTTTTTCATTCGCTCGTCAACTTGTACCTGGTAGTTTGCTAAGCAACCCTAGTCGTCTCCAGGCCTTTCCTTCCACATTTTCTGTATGTTTGCTCTACGTGAGCCTTTAATCAAATGTAAACTCAAAGATAAGTGTGAAATCTTTCGTCTTACTTCAATAAATATGTTCCTAGGTAAATACCAGCAACTTTGCCTTAGAGAAAAAAAAGAGAAAAGCTTTGTATATGTTTTGTCAATTTAAGTGCCAGATCATCTGTATACAGCATTTTATTGCTGATTTCATCTGGGCCTGCAGACTTTTTTTTTTTTTCAAATTAAGCCTGGAAATGGCATTTTGAATTCTACCTACAACGAAGGGCTCCATAATAGAAGCAGTAGTATCTGCCTGCTTCTTGTTTGTATTTCTTTCCATTTTACTCGTTCACTCCTTTAGAGAAGTATTTCACCAGGTCATTAATACAGAAAGTAATGAGAGTTGGAGACATAACTCCTCCATTTGGTACATCTTGATAAAGTAAAACTTTTCTGCTCCGAGGGCCATGTAATTTAACAGATCATCCTCTCGCTGCATTCTAAGATTTACCACTAGTTTTTATCAGTCGTACATCAGAGTGCCAGATCGTCTGTATACAGGGTAACCTTCAATCCAATAGAGAGCTACTTCACCAGGTCATTGATATAGATAAGAAAGAAAGTTGGAGACATAACTTCTCACTGTGGTACTCCGTGTTTAAGTAAAACTTTTTCTGCCCTGAGGGCCATAAAGAGTGTTTTTAAAAACATATTTGATCGATCTAAGCATGCTTCCTTGGTTTCCATTGCTCTGCAATCTTGCAATGAGACCATCTTTCCACACTTTGTCAAAAGCTTGTTTGAAGTGAGCTCCTATCGCCATGATCTTTTTCTTCTCTTGGAAGGCATCTTCTATATCCTGAGACAGGTAAGTGACTTTGTATTCTATGCTGTAACATTCCCTACACTCATCTTGTTCTGACACCAATATATGCGCAGACTGTGAATGTCATTGTAGTGTGTGATTTGCAGTTCTAGCCAATGTCTATCCTACACAACTTATGCGATTAATTGGCCGAAAGCTTGAAGCTTAAGTATTAATAATTTCATACCTTTTTTAGTATGAGTATTGTAAAAGCTGCTCTTCATACTTGAGGTACCAATCCTTTCTCCAAGCAGCTTCACTTTAGCAGCTAAAAATAGACTGATCAGCATTTTGGTGCTGATTTCATCTAGGCCTGCAGACTTTTTTTTTTTTTAAATTAAGCCTGGAAATGGCATTTTGAATTCTACCTGCAATGAAGGGCTCCCTATTAGAAGCAGTAGTATATGCCTGCCTCTTGTTTGTATTTCTTTCCATATTACTCTCTGGTGGTTCTCATTAGGGATCAGTTTTATTTCAAAACTATATGCTCTGGCAAACAAATCTGCAGCTCGTTGTCATTTGAGGAATTCATCACCTTCACTCAGTGTGCTTATTTTTCTTGGAGATAATCTCTGTTCATTGAGTGATTTGGCTAATCTCCAGAGTTTCTTGCCACCTCTCTGAAGGTCTAGAGCTGTTGTTCTATTTATCCAGCTTTTCCGTTGTTTTTTTTAGTTGAGTTTTCTGGAACACCGAAACAGTCGTTTTCCATTTGGTGTGGTTGTCATATGAAGGCTGGGATTCTGCATCCTTTATAGACTGGCTTATTATTTCCTGACCTTCCTGGAGTGTGCTGGAACAGTTTCTGTAAATGTATCTGGGGACTGCTTCTTTTTGTGGTATAGGCATAATAAAGGAAGGTTAATTAGGGTGGTACGTCTGTGGCTTATGTGTTGAGAACGTGCTTCGCAATGCCGAGGGGGGGGGGCGCCGGATTCGATCCCAGCTGCCAGCCATTTAGCAGCAGAACGTCTTACGTTGGACAGTGGTACTTAAAACAGGCCGATCAGAGAGCACTGGCAAACTACTGAACCTAAACTTTGTCTTGAAAAACAACAACAGCAAAAAAATTGCTGTGGTTGGCTCTGCAACGTCCTGTAAAGGATACGCAACTAACTTTTCTTATGTACGCTTGTTTTGTTTCACTGAGCTTACCTGTTATAAACTTTAACTGACACTTTAATAAACTACTTTGTTTTCTTTATCTCTCACCTTCTTGTTTCTCCACAGGAATACGGCATTAGAACGGCCTGCAGACTCGCCAACTACTTAGAACGACTTAGTGATGACAGTTCTAGTGTGGTTAACAGTGTGGCAGCGTGAGTTGTTAACATTAGTTTCTGCATCTTTATTTTTATATTTGTGGAGAGGGACCACACATATCCTGTAAAAAACCATGCTAACTGTAACAAAAATTTTAAGATCCACTTATTTAGTCTCTCTCTCTCTCTCTCTCTCTCTCTCTCTCTCTCTCTCTCTCTCTCTCTCTCTCTCCTCCTCCTCTCTCTCTCTCTCTCTCTCTCTCTCTCTCTCTCTCTCTCTCTCTCTCTCTCTCTCTCTCTCTGTTTCTCAAGATTTTACTTGGAGACACTTTATAAATGGAACGGACATCCTTGAGCTGAGTTGAGTTGGGTCAAGAATTGACATCACAGCACTCGGGGCATTCCCATACGCGCTCCGTCCCCATCTTCAGTAGCCAGCGTCAAGTTTTAGTACTAATGGTGCCGGTTTTAGTCTGGTTGTATGTCCGTCTTGTCTTTTCTCTCAGTGCAGTGAGCCGGCCAGGCCCTTGGAGACACCCAGGTGCATCATTCTCTGCAGGCTATATGAATCTAGTATCTCTACCGACATCGTTACTAGTTCCCAACCTTGACCACACCTGGCGTATCATGTATTGACTCACCTCAAAAGGATGCAAATCTTACCATTCTGTCTGACTGTTCATTCCCCACCACGCATGCATTGCCAGGAGAAAAGATCCAACATATGCTTTCTAGCCTTGACCCTCCAAGTGAAGCTTGTCGACACAGATCTTCTACTATTGATCGGTGGACTCCTGATGTACATGCTCCCATGTGGATTTCTTTCTATTATTATTACTTGAAACAGTAATTGGTGTACTGTTATAAAATTTACAGTTGCCGATTTATAGCTAGGATTAGGCGGACTGTGTCAGGGGCCAACAACGTAACAGTAGAGTAAAACTCCTTTGCCAGTTCATCCACTCTGCCCAGTGAGTGAGCAGAAACATTTTATCCAGGATTAAACCTAGGTCTTTTAACTAAAGGCTCGACGTTCCTAAGCTTTCGGTCAGCCGGTCCTAGTAATTAGCTTCTGACTCCCCGTGTGGGTTCTGTGGCCTCCATTATGTGGAAAAAAATAGATCCACGGCCTCCCTAGCAATCATGTCGTAGGAGTCCACCTAATTAGGGGAGGGTGCATCCTTCAAAGTCGTAGTACATCTGCCTCGCTGGCAAGGAACCAAGCATCTGCACATACATAAGCCAGATTTATGAAACAGAAATGCATGACAACACTCAGGTTCTGGAACATGACTATAGTCTGAAGGTGGACGAACACCCAGAACTTTCCACTAGAGTTTACAGCAGGTAAACGTAAAAAAATAGTTTCCTGCTTACACTATGTATTTTCTTTAATTAATATGCAGCTGGCAAAAACAGCGTGCACGCACACACACACACACACACACACACACACACACACACACACACACACACACACACACACACACGACATCAGTTTCCATTTCATAAACATTGTGTGTTAAGTTTATTTAGCACCGTGATTGTTGCATGCAGTATAGCTCTGCCTTTATCGATACACTTGTTTCAGTCAAATGTGAGAGACACTTAAAAAAAAAAAAAAATCAGTAACATCATCACTATATCGCCGTTCCAACGTGTTCCCTCACTTTAAACAATGTTCTCAGCGTGCAGGTGAACGCGCTCAGCAATTTGCTGAATGTGGCAGCAACGCATGGTGAGGAGATCAGTATCTCGAATGAAACGGATCCGCTTGCAAAGCAAAACATGACAAAACAGGTAGAGAATCATTGTCATTGTGGTGCGGTGAACTAATGTGTTTGTGTGTGTACACACGCGTACGTGTACCCACGTATGTTTGTGTGTGTGTGTGTGTTTGTGTGTGTGTGTGTTTGTGTGTGTGTGATAATTGTTAAAAGGCCTGAACTCCTACTCCTTTACAGTTGTCAAAGATTCCAAGTAATTCCCCTAACAATGTGTAAATGTTTGCTTTGTGTGTGTGTGTGTGTGCTTGCGTGCGTGCGTGCGTGCGTGCGTGTGTGTGTGTGTGTGTGTGTGTGTGTGTGAAAATCTTCGTTTCCACGTTTCATATTATTATGAATACACTGGAGAGAAAGGTCGAAGACAAAAGAGCAAGAGGGGGAGGAGGAGGGTAACGATACAGTTTGGAGGACATCATCAAGAGAGGGATCAACAGCAGTCTGAGAGGGTGTACAATAAGGATAGGAGACAGCGTGTTGAAGATCCATTCCAGCTAACATTCATTGTGAAGACGGCACCTGATTGATTGATTGATTGAATATATTAATTATTGGGGAGGAAGTGAGAGGGGGGGGGGGGGCTCTCAAGATGCCTGAGCCTTCAGGTTCGGTCGCCTATGCTTCAGTTGTGACACACATGCGACTGTTAAACACCTCTAGAGCCCAGCTCGCTATCGTAGTTGGCAAAACCGCAAAGCGCGGTGACCGAGTGACGATCACATTGTATTTTAAATCATTAGTTGCAAAACACTACATCCTGTTCATGTAACTATTGTATCAATGTGAATATAAAGCCAGGTAAATTTAAAGAACATATAGCAAAGTCAGTTAAATTCAGACAACATACAGCACAACTAATTAAAACTTAAGAGAATGTATAGCAAAACCAGTTAACGTTACAGAATGTATAATAAAGCAAGTAATAATAATACATATGTATAACTCGCAGAACATTCGCCAGAGTACTTTAGCTACAGAAGCATTGGTCAATATCGCTAATGTCCTTCTCAAAACAATTTCTAAGGTCAACGATCCCATTAAGGTAGGTTTCCTATTTTATACAATTTGAATGATGCCATTTACCAGTCAGTCACAAATATTTTTTTCAGACTAATTATATAGTGTTGCTCCCTGTAGGGTCACGTTCATCGTCATCACTTAGTGCCAGCTAACATAGGTGTTCATGTGTCACCACAGATCTCGGTCTTTTCTCTTGGTCTGCACTGCCTCTTGGTCTGCACTGCCTCTTGGTCTGCACTGCCTCTTGGTCTGCACTGTCTCTTGGTCTGCACTGCCTCTTGGTCTGCACTGCCTCTTGGTCTGCACTGTCTCTTCGACCAGCGATCTTTCCAGTCGTCACGATATTTCCCAATGCTCCTTTTCTCATCATATGATCAAAGATCTTTGTCTCCTTCTCATTGTTATACATAATGTTCTACTTTCATTAGCAATTTCCAGACAATTAATGGTGGTTATTCTGGCAGTCCAAGGTATTCTAAACATTTTTCTCGAAAACCACATCTCAGTTGCCTCCAAACTTTTCCTAATTTGTTTTCTCACATTCCAAGATTCACTACCATACAACAGAACAGGCTCGCTATAACATTTCATTACTTGTTTTTTTTTAAAAATATATATTTAATGAGAGTAAGAGGGTCACATTATATAACATTAAACAAATATACACACACAAGGTTATACTTGCAGGGGATATTTAAACCTCGCCTTTAGTCTCTTCTTTCATCATCATCACCGACAATATCATCATCCTCATCATTCTCCCCACCACCACTTTTTCAACTCCTAGACTGTAATCTAAGAACGGCCATACTTGATTAACCATGTGGTGCATAGTTATAGAAACTGAAGGATCATTTGGGCAGTCCAGTTCGTCCATGGCAAGATTACGGTGTTACATTAAAATATATTATGTCCTTCGTTATATAAAGTAAAGTAAAGGACTCTTTGGCATAGGAATAAAGGAAGGCCAAAAAACACATGGAGAAGAGAGCTGGAGACTGAAGTTAGAAAGATGGGGAGGACATGGGGAGAGCTCGTTCACTAACAGATAAATGTGATTTTTGTTATCGTCGGACTCTCTTGTTCAATATGTGCTGGTCGAATCACTGACAGATAAATGTGATTTATGTCATCATCGGACTCTCTTGTTCAATATGTGCTGGTACCAATCACTGTCAGATAAATGTGATTTATGTCATCGTCGGACTCTCTTGTTCAATATGTGCTGGTACCAATCACTGACAGATAAATGTGATTTATGTCATCGTCGGACTCTCTTGTTCAATATGTGCTGGTACCAGTCACTGACAGATAAATGTGATTTTTTGTCATCGTCGGACTCTCTTGTTCAATATGTTCAGTTACCAATCACTGTCAGATAAATGTGATTTTTCATCGTCAGACTAGCTTGTTTATTATGTGCTGGTACCAATCACTAATAGATAAATGCGATGTATGTCATCGTCGGACTTTCAGGTTCAGTATGTTTAGGTACCATTCACTGATAGATAAATGTGATTTATGTCATCGTCGGACTCTCTTGTTCAATATGTTCAGGTAACAATCACTAACAGATAAATGTGATTTATGTCATCGTCGGACTCTCTTGTTAACTATATGCAGGTACCAACTGAGTTCGTGGACTTCATTGTGGCCTGGAATAACGTCAGTAAAGAGACATCATTTGCGGTTGGCTCTAAAAATGTCAATTTCAGCTTGCCCACCACCCATGCAGGCGTCGTCGAGAATGAGATAGTGGAAAGTGAAGTAAGGCATTGCACATTCGTTTTTTCCTGTCCCGAAACTCGTTCTCTGTAAATATATATAACATGCATAATTACCGGTACTCATCACAGTATGCCTATTACAGTCGTGCTGAAAGAAATATCATATTTAAAAAAAAGTGGCGTTGTGCACCGCATCCAAAATCCAAAAGCCCTTGATATAAACATATATATATATATATATATATATATATATATATGTGTGTGTGTGTGTGTGTATATGTATATATACATATATATGTACATATATATACGTATATCACTTATAAGGCTTAGGTTACTGCATAACGCTGACAAATAAACTCATGCACAAGCGCGTGCGCACACACACACACACACACACTTCCTCTCAATGTGCGTTTTATGTCGGTGACCCAGATTCCATACCTTACGCTCGTATTGTTGTACACATTTTTGTCATTTTGTGAGACAGCTTCAACAATTACCTTCTGTTAATTTCAGCCTACCAACAGAGCGTACAGGTGTACCTTACAAATTGTATTGAAAAAAAGACCATCTTGACGGGGGTGTCGATAAAAACGAAAGGGCTGATAATTTGGCTGAATCAGCTATCACTGCTGAAGGTAAACCCATGGATGGTGCTGATATTATTATTGCCCTCAGAGAAGTGGCAAGAGTGGAGGACTTTCGAGACAGCGATTCCACATCGTTTACCAGAATGAAAGACTCGGGAGTTAAGATCGGCATAACCTAATGCAAGAGACACAGTGGGCATACAGAAAGATCTATCAGTCCACAAGAACTCTCTCTATTAGTCACAAGACACTGGGATTCAAATTGAGGGAAGAATCTGAGCACCTATGGACATGTCTGAAATGCAATAATCATATCCCGGATGACTAAAAAAGGATCATCTTACATTCATAGAAAAAGCAAAAATGCATTTACATTACTTGTGATTTAGAGGAAGGGGGGGGGGTGTTGGGGCGGAAAAAGGGGGGGGGGAATAATCCAGCAAAACCTTTAGGCTAAATTATACATTAATATATAATTTCACTACAGCTGAGATATTCCCGGGAAGTAAAGGCGGCCGGCCGGCCGGATGCTGACCTAATCACAATCCTGTTCCGATTAGTCTATACAAATATATGTCTAGTATTATGCGATAGTGTGGGACTGAAGGTGTGGGAAAGGGATCTGTACCTTTGTGTGTGTGTGTGTGAAAGCTGAGATATGAGATATAATTTGTGAGCATCGGTGCCAAGTTTTACACGCATCGTTGCAAAATGCAGCCTCTGTCTTTCTTTTCAGTTTGAAACATTTCACAAAAACCCATATGGATGGACTACAGATAGAGTTCATGGCAATATGCCAGTTGTTAAAGTACGCCTGAATAGACACGGTATAGATGAAACAGTCGAAAAGGGAGGGAAGGAAACGTTTCGCTTTAGCAAACCAGCAGATATATTTCTGAATTTTAATGGTAAGGAAATAGCGATTGTGTTTCTCTCAATGTCTGTGTCTTTTAAAACAAAACAAAATAAAAGACCACTGAGATACAATTCTTTATCTTCCTCTTTACCTTCACCAGCTGTACACTCTGGCGGAAAGTTCTGGTTATTCGTCCACTTTTGGACTGCAGTCCTGTTCCAAAACCTGAGTGTTGAATTTGCATACGTTTTACAGATCTGACTCATTTGTATAAAGGTAAAGGTAAAATAGGGAGATGTGAACCAGCGTCATTGCACACGATTATAAACCATAAGAGTCTGCCACCAGTACGGACAGCTGATAAGAAACTGTCCGCCTGTGTCGCCGTCCGCACGTAACTCTGTAGCTACAGCGACGTTCCTCCATTTACCCCAGAGTGCCAACGGTGGTACACATTTCCTAGAGGCTGGGTGAAACGCCCGGTTTCGAACACCAACACTGACTGCAGCGAGTCACAGCTGGATTTAAAAGCGAGCCACCTATCGACTGCTCTAACGCGACTCCATAGACTGGCAGACTGCTGGTTTCTTGCCTCTCAGGCAGAAGGCTCTGACTTCGACTCTTACGACATGCTTTTATGTTGACAGTGGGTCTATTCTTGTTTTCCCTGTGGTAGAGCCCTGGAACCCACACGGTGATAAAATGATAATTTCATTATAATTGTGGCCGTGAAATAGGTGGGAAAGTCATTAATTAATGGCATCTGCATTATTCAATTCTTTTTTTTAAACGAGCGGTCGGGGGATCGGTCTGTGTCTTATTTCTCGACATAGTATTCCTACCTTGCAACACATGTAGTCCATCGGTGCACAAGATTTCTCGACATATTATCGCTGCCTTGCAACACATGTAGTCCATGGGTCCATAAGATTTCTCGACATAGTATCGCTATCTTGCAACACATGTAGTCCATCGGTCCATAAGATTTCTCGACATAGTATCGCTACCTTGCAACACATGTAGTCCACCGGTCCACAAGATTTCTCGACATATTATCGCTGCCTTGCAACACATGTAGTCCATCGGTCCATACGATTTCTCGACATAGTATCGCTATCTTGCAACACATGTAGTCTACCGGTCCACAAGATTGTTTATATTCTCACCTGGTAGCAGCTCTTGCGTGTGACCTTTAAGTAGGTTCGCACCACCCACATCACCTCATTGTCATCTCCTCATCTCTGACCCTGCAAATGTTCTTTCAGTGGCTCAAACAAATGACAGTCCGATAGTGTCAAATCTGAACTGTATCTTGGATTGAGTTGAATAGAGTTAAGTTAAGAATTGACACCACAGCACTCGGGGCATTCTCATTCGTGTTCCGTCCTTATCTTCAGCAGCCAGCGCGAGTTCCATTACTGATGGTACGGGTCACACTCTGGTTATATGTACGTCTTGCCTTTTCTCTGAGTGTAGTGAGCTGATATATATATATATATATATATATATATATATATATATATATATATATATATATATATATATATATATAGTCATTAAGTAAAGGCAATTGTATACTAGTCTGCATGGAACAGTTTGCAAAAGTAAATAAATATATGTACATATTTGTATGTATACACGGGCACATACATACATATATTTGCATACAGTTCAACACTGGTTTAAAGGGTACATAAAAAAGGGGGGTTAAACTAAGACGAATAGACTAATCCCCTGTGAGATGACTAACCTACAGATACAAGAAGCACGACTGTGTACATTTGAATGCACACATAACTTCAGATGAAAAACTTAAAAGTGGGAATTACAGTAACTATTTAGTTCAACTTTAGTCTCCCAAAACAAAGTAGGTCACGTTCCATTGATACATTTTTTGGAATGGCCTACATTCCGGGGGTTGAGGGGGGGGGGGCAGGGGGGGGGGGTTATGGGTGTGTGCCGCTCTGTTGTTTGCTTTCTGGCTTGTCTTGCATTTACGTTTCTCTTCAGAGAAAGAGAATGCCTGTGACATAGGTTGCAGCACTCTCTGGAAGGTCGGGGGTGGGGGCGGAGTGTTGTGTGCTAGACCCAGTTTCTTCATGTTTTTGTAGTGTTAAAAGCGCTGGCGAGCTGAAATATACAACAAGCAATATCAACGGCATTGCGGAACACCCCCGTAGCATTGTGCGAAGGCGCGCGGCTCAGAAACTACCAATCAGAAGTGAGCTAGTGTATATACGGGCGGGGTCTGGGGCGACTATCGTGGAACTAATCCAGTAACTATTTTGTTGACTTGTAGCCTGTAACTATTGTATTTATGGATGTAAAGCACACACAGACGAACATGGTCACCTCAGAATGACATTTTTAAAATGACCGCCCCAGTTTGACTTTCACGAGTGAGGAGCTATGTTATCTTATCCGTTTGTTTTTTAAACCAGTGGAGGAGTTGAAGTATAAAAAAAAATCGTCAAGAACCTCAGGTCCATTATGACAATGCATGTCTATCAGTCCAGAAAGTCTGCGAGTGGAGTGTGGTGATTTAGAACAGCGTGACTCCTGTGACAGACTGTTCACGACCGAGTAATGAAAATAGGGTAGTGACCCACAGACTCGATTGCATCTATTATTAAACGTACTGCAATGTTGAAGTCGTCAAAAAGAACATAGTTTGTATCTTTCGAATGCGAGTAACAAGTTCTCTTCGTTGGTTTTTCAAGCTGTCGCATTCTAAAATGGTTAAAAAAGTACTGTCCTTCGGATCACTTCTCTCCATAATTTTCAGTGCGCTTTGTATCTTCTGCTTCTTCTTCGCCTTTGCGTTCACCGGCTGCAAACTTCTGTGGAAAGTTCTGGTTGTTCGTCCACTTTTAGACTGCAGTCTTGTTTTCGAACCTAGGTATTGCGTGTGCATCCGTTTGACATATCTGACTCATTCGTTTGCAGACTGTTAGTTCTCTGCGTCTCAGGCAGATGCACTCCGACTTCGAAGGAAACTCCAAATTAATCGACTCTCACAACATGCTTTTCGGTAGGCAGTGTTCCTATTCTTGTTTTTCCTACAATAGGGCCCTTGAACCCACACGGGAATCTATGTATCTGATGTAATCACCATTCAGTAATAATTAACGGTCCCTTATTATTATTATCAATCAGCATGACGTGTACAGAAGGTCGCTGTCGTCATGAGACGCTTGAATGATTATCTTTCTCTAGTGAGCTCTTCAGCTGTCGCTGTATTTTTAGGCCTTTATTACCAAGCTCTTGGGTGTCATCCATAAAACCCCCGATATCGCTGAGGTACATGGCAGCAGAAAGAGGGCCCTTCTTGGCGTCTTCACCATAATTCAGCGTTGCCTCAAGATACGATCTATACTGATAACTGTTTCCGCTAGGTGTAATCTGCGAATCATTGAGGGAAACGTCGACTTGAGAAAATAAACTATGCATGTAATAGTTGACGGGTGCCACATCGGCATCTGGCGGTATACTGTCACCGTTGCTTAACGT